TTAAATTAACTAGTTAACAATAGGTTAGTTCAGGTTACTTTTTATCCAACAATTAAGGCAGAGAGTGAACTTCAGTATTAAGCCAATTGAAACTGACCTGTTTGGGGAACCTGTCTGTTACCTGGCTAGTCCTGATTTTTCAGAGGGTTGGATAAACAGCTTAGTTGCAGCTTGGTGATGTGGACATCAGCATGAATGACCCCATTTTCATTTTAGGCTCTTCCTGTCAGGGCTAGTAGTGGAGCTCAGTTCAAAAAGTGGTCTCCTGTAATTTTTATTTAACACTAGTAAGAACCCCTGGTCTTAGAGAAACCAGAAGACCAACCTGTTAACAATGTGCTCCTTTGTTATCAGAATATGTCTGATTCCTGATGTCTGTGTACCTGGCCAGTACAGTAACCACTGGGCACTTGTCGTTACCAGAAATGCCATCGCCTTTATGTTCTGAGCAAGACCTCAACCATACAAATGTAGCAAAGTTTATTAAGAAAGAAAACACCCAGAGTGGAGGATGGGTCATCTCAAAGAGAACAGCAATTTGTTTTGTGAGTGTGGTTTAATTGGGGTAGGAGGCAAAGTAGGTCCTTTGTGCTCTGGATTGACAGACTCCACTAGATTCCCAAAGTTGCCCTACAACACTTTTACCTGTAGGTGTTCCATGAACCCCCTGAGAAGGGGAGTAAGGCTTCCTTAGGATATGGCGAGGCTATGCTAATAACCTCAGGGCACCTCTCTGTCATCCTGACCAGCTGACAAGTTCCAGTTGGAACTTATTTTATAGATGGGCTGATGGGCTCTGGACCTCGTCACCCTGCTTTCCCAGGGACTCAGGGTCCCATGACCATCGTGAGTTTTACGGTTGCGTTGTGTTTATCTTAGGCCATAGTGTAAGACTGGAAAACGCCGCACCACACAACACAGAGTGCCAAAGAGTTTTCCACTTTATTACAAAAGGCTGTGTGTTTATATAGGTCTGAGGAGGGGTCACAGGGCTGAGGTAGATAACAAGTCGCCCGTTTATTGGCAAGCTCTTCCATATGTCAGTTCTGGAGCCCAAGAAGTGAATTCTAGTTGGGGCTGTCTTCCCACCAGCAGGGTTTGAACATTGGCGCCAGCTGGAACGTTTCGCACCAGTGAAAGAAACAAAGAGGAGAAAGAGGGTCGTTAGACGCCATGCTGGGGTTTTTCTCTGGGGTGCTGCTGCCGTTATATGTTTACCCAACACATAGTCTGGTCAGCATTGTTTGTGCAGGGCCTTGCTTAAGGTGTTGTAGCAGTTAGACCCTCTGGAGCAATCGTACCTTTGCCCTTGGTGCTTAACCCCTGAGTTTATCTTGTCAGTTGTAAGAGGAGTAGTTTATAGGGCTGAGATCAGGTGGGGCCCTGAAGTAGCTATCTTCTCAGACCTTGTGGTGCCACAGAGGCAGTGCTGTTGATTAACTGATTTGTTTGGCACTGAGTATTTTCTTACACCCCTGACCTAACTGCTCAAACCCCTGTGTCTGACTGCTGCCTAACTGCGCACCTGGAAGTGTGGCTGAATTGAATGTGCCAGAAATGTAAAATGCATGTTGGTTCCAGACAGATACAAAATAAAGTGCAAAACCTCATTAGTAATTTTATATTGATTGGATACATTGTGTGTGTTGGATACATTGGGTTAAATAGGACATATTAAAATTAGCTACTTCTAGGACTGGGGTTGGGGCTCAGAGGTAGAAGCACTTGCCTAGCATGCGTGAGGCACTGGGTTCAATCCTCAGCACTACATAAGAATAAATAAAGCTATTGTGTGCACCTACAACTAAAAAAATAAATGTTTAAAAAAAATTAGCTGCCCTGTTTCTTTTTACCTTGTATGTGACCATAGAATACTTGATGTTACGTAAATGGCTCACAGTTATGACCTGAGTTATATGTATTTTTATATATATTTTTTTTTAATTGATGATAGAACTTTATTTATTTATTTTATTTATTATATGCGGTGCTGAGAATCAAAGCCAGTGCCTCACACATGCCAGGCAAGTGCACTATCATAGCCCCAGCCCTTGAGTTATATTTTTATTGGATGGTGCTGCCTCTTCGCATCTAAACTTCTTAACTGACTTCCATTCCTCTTCCTCTGATGGCTCTCAGGAAATCACCCAGAAAATTCTGGAAGCCATAGGGAACATTGCTGGCTCTTCCCTGGAACAAACCAGCTGGCTCAGCAGAAACTTGGAAGTGAAGGCTCAGCCACAGGTGGCCCTGGAAGAGTCTGACCCTGAGGAGGACTTGTACGGTAGGTGTGGGGGCATCAGAGGTAATGCTTGCTGCCCTCCTGGGGCCCTCGCTGGCCTTTGGAAGGAGCTTAAGTGTTCTCACCACCAAAAACAGACAGACAGACACACCTGGGGAGAAAGAGTGGAGAAGCTATGAGGTTGGGAAGTGAAGGTGGTACTGTTTGTTTTTGCTTTTGTTTTTTAATGTTTATTTTTAGTTGTAGTTGTACACAAAGGCATTGTACCTTTATTTTTTTTTTATGTGTTCTTACGTGGTGCTGACAATCGAACCCAGGGCCTCACACATGCTAGGTGAGGGCTCCACCACTGAGCCCCAGCCCCAGCCCTGCACTGGTTTTCAATCCCAAAGGCTGGGTGCTTGCTTCCTCCTGGAATTGTGGAAACATTAACAAGACCAAGCACTGAAGGAGACTTTTATTCTTGGCCAAAAATAAAAGTGGGAGATGAACTTGCAAATCAAGTTCCCACCCCTTGGGGGTTGGGGGTCATAGATGAAGAATAAGAGAAATGGGGGAGTAGGCTAATAAAGGGAAGGAATATGCATGTATTTTCGGGGAATGGGTAGATATTTTCCTGTTGTTTGGGCACCACCTTGTTCCTTATATGGTTCTTTCTGGTTATTGTCATGATGGTCAATTGTCTGGCACCAGAGAGTACTCCTTCAGCATGCAGATGGGATTGTGATGAAGCTGAAGTTGTCTGGTCTACAGCTGGCAGCTTGTCCTAGATCCAGCCAGCTTCAGCCAGCCCATCCAAAGAGGAACTTCTGGCCTTCCAGCCTCTTGTCCTCAGAATAAGCAAGATTAGGGCCAGGCCTGGTGGCCCAAGCCTATTCCTCTGCTCCAGGCTGAAGCAGAATGATCCAAAGTTCAAGGCTAGCCTGGGTAAATTAGGGAGGCCTGTCTCAAAATTAAACAGTAAGCTGGGGGTATAGCTCAGTGGTAGAGTACTTGCCTAGGAAATGGGAGGCCCTGGGTTCAGTCCCCAGGACCAAAGGGGGAAAAGTTTAAGCTAAGGAAAAAGCATGTCCTGCTTGCTTAGGCCTACTTCCATTCACCCAAGTGCCCTTTGTGCTCAGCAGCTAAGTGAATGAACAGTCTTCACTTCTTAACAATTTAAGTTGTGTGTGTAACGGACAGTAGGGTCCCTCTGATGGCATCCCAGGGACAGATGCCATGTTAACCTTCACTGGGCCCAGGAAGAGTCCCAAAGGTGACCTCCCTAGATAATGCACATGCACGGGATGCCTGAAGGCCAGAAGTCCCTCTTCAGGTGGGCTGGCCAAAGCCAATTGGATCTAAGGTGGCATCCAGGGTGACCACCAGACAATCTCTAGCTTCATTATAATAAAAGAAATGACTGTTCCTCCCCTTTATTAGCCTATTTGTCTTCCTCATTTCTTTTGCCCAATATGGGTAATCTCCCAGCCCCAAAGGGGTTGATTCATAAATTTGTCTCCCACTTCTATTCTCGGCCAAGAATAAAAATTTCTTATGCTGTTCAATTAGTGCTTGGTCTTATTACTGGTTCCACAGTTCCAAGGGGGGAAAAGGATTCAGTCATTGGAGTCAAAAATTGATTAATAGTCCCAACAAGTCAGGTCTGACTCTTTGCCCCAAAGACAGCAAACAAAGGCAATGGTGAAAGCAGGAAAGGCGTGTAATCAATAGAGCTGTACTTGGAAGACGGATCAGGCGTACTGGCCCTGTCTTTGGGGCTACTGACATGGGCTGTAGGTTTAAATAGAGGAAGAATTGGGGCGGGAAGAATTGGGGTGGGGGTTAGAGTGACTTGTGTTAGATGGGTTTCTGTTGGTGAGACAGAATACCTGGGGAAAAAAACATGACCAGAAAGAAAGGTTTTTCTTGGCTCATGGTTTCAGAGGTCTCAGTTCGTGGTGGTCGGCTGGCTCCACTGCTTTGGGCCTGAGTGAGGCAGAGCATCACAGCAGAGTGCCTGGCAGAGGAAAGCTGCGTGGCTCGTGGTAGCTGGAAAATGGGAGGTGGGGGAGGTGGGGGGGGCGGATGGCAGCAAAAAGGAGAGAAGCAGGAACAGTCCCCAAGGGCATGCTCCCAAAGACCCACCGCCTCCCAATAATGTCCTCAAATTTGGCTCCACTGGTGAGGTCAAAACCCCACCTCTGGACATCGCACAAGCCTTTGACACATGAGTCTTTGGGGGACATTTTAGATCCAAACCACAACAGTACTGGTGGAGAGCAGAGCAGTCTTGATCAGACTGGTCTGGTTGATCATTATCTCCTTCAGTTTTTCAAGGTAACTCTGGAGAGGTCCTTGTTGCTTAAAAGGGCAGTTCAGTTCCCACGAGATGATTACTCCTAATTGTGGGGGAGCCACAGTTGCTGTCATGGGGTAATTGTTCCTGCTTAGGACGGTGATCTCATCCATTGTGAGGTGATGTGTCTGCAAGGCTGTGCTATTCCGGGTGACTGCAGCTTTGGGCAGTGACTAGAGACTTCTAGGCACCACTGAGGAGGTCTTGAAAACGCCCTGGTTACCCTTTATCTTGGTGTCCTCAGTCTTAAAGGAAGACAAAATAAATTAGGTAGATTTAGGACTAATCATCTTTGTAGTACCTGTTTTTACACAGACACTCCCTACGTGATTAACATGCCTGGAGAGCCAAATAGGATTCTGACCCAAAGTTTAAGGTGGTAAAGGAGATAGAGACACAGGCAGAGATGCTGCTTCCCATTGGGCATCTGCAGGCCAAAGTGAAGAGTCAGTGCTTTTTAGCAAAAACAGCCTCTACATCATTGTTACAAACTCAGTGTGGTAGTTTAGGCTGTCAATTGCCAGGCCCTAAAGACCCGCAGGCACACCTGCCAACCAGGCAGATCTCAGGGCATGGCACTCAGTAAGGGAGACACTGGAATGTGTCATAGGAGTATCTCAAATGTAGTTGGCAAGGATATTTATAGAGTTTTGTCCCATCCGTCAGGACACATCAGCGAACCTAGAGGGGGAGGAATGAAGGGACAAGAGACACGAAAGGTGACAGCAAGACAAAAGTTCTGATCAAGCTGCAAACTTTTATTGTTCACACAGGGGTATTTATATGCTGGGGATGGGGAAGCTCTCTAATCAGCAATTGCTGGATGTGGGTGGTAAAACTGCCAGCTGCAGGATGTCTCCCAGGGGGCTGTCAGGCAAATCTTTGAAGGAGAATTTCCTTCTAGTCCCCAGCAGAGTTTCAGGACCTTGGCTGAGCTGAGTTGTGACAGGTCTTTTAAGGTGGGTGTATTAATCCATTTTCTCTTCCCAAAAACACAGTACTATAGACTGGGTAACTTATAAAGAAGGTTTATTTCAGCTTGTGGTTCTGGGGGTGCAAGGTCTAGGGGTCTTTTCTATGATGGCAGAGTCCCCAGGCAGCACAAAGCATCACATGGCAAAGGTTAAGGAGTGTGCGTGTGTGTATGTGTGTGTACACACGCACTTGTGCTTCTTCTAGTCCCTTTCTTCTCACAAGAGTTAGTGGTTTGGATTTGTGGGTGCAGCATGAGGTGAGGACCCAGAAGTTACTCTTGGTAAGTGCGTTCCCAGTTTTGATGAGCTAGCTTTAGGTGGTGTACAGTTTTCTCTTGGGAGTCAGCGTGCCTTGGGGCAATTGATTTTCTGTGCTAGTTCTGCATTTCATTTAACATGGGGACTGTTGCTTAATGCAGGATGAGAGGTAAGTTTAGTCCCAGTTTTATTAAATACAGTGAAGAGAAATTACATTTTTGTTTTCAGTATGAACTATATGGCACAGTACCTGCCACAGAGTAAATGTTCAAAACTCCTTAGCTTATATTACTCTTCTTTCAGAATTGTTAGTGATGGATATATCCACAGAAACAATGCTAAATGGGTCTTTTTTCTTTTGGTACCAGGGATTGAACCCAGGAGTGCTTAACCACTGAGCCACATCCCCAGCCTTTTTTTTTTTTTTTTTTTTTTTGAGACAGGGCCTCAGTAATTTGCTTAGGGCCTCACTAAGTTGCTAAACTGTCTTTGAACTTGAAATCCTCCTGCCTTAACCTCCCAAGCTTCTGGGATTATAGGCATGTGCCACCTCATCTGGTTAAGTTGGTCATTTTTTATATGCAAGGGAAGACGCGTCCTTGAGTCAGGGCTCTTTTCCCTTACAGATAACAGAAGTCTATTGCAGATGAACAAAAACAAAAATACCAAATGAAGAACTCTGGGCTCCTGCACATGAAAAGCCCAGGGCTAATAATATCTGCTTTAAGCAGTGGAGTGACCAGATGGTCAAATGACTCTGGTAGCTCTTCTGGGTGACATACCTAACCCAGAGGAAGGGCAGGAGCCACGTGATGTGGGCTCTCACCCAAAAGTTGGTTCTCTTCCCAAAAGGAGGAAGGGCAGGGCGCTGGGCAGATTTTGATACCACACCATTATTTGTGCCATATTTGCTAGATAGCTGGCCCTGTGGTCTGCCTAAGAAGTAGTTGCACCTAATCCTGTAATGAAGATACTCTGAGTACTGCCCTTGGCGAGCGATAACCAGCAGTTGTGCTTTCTGCGCTGTGACTGGGGGTGGTAGGGGAGGAGTGCACCCTCCTCCCTGGCTGCCCTACTGGGCGTTTCTTTCTGCCTTGGCTGAGGACGCTTCCACCCACCCCTCGGGCTCTGGCAACTTGATTGCATCAAGTATTGCTGGGCCTGGCTTTTGTGCAACAATTAAATATAACCTTGAGACAGTGTTGTGTAATATGATTACCTGGCTTCAAAAAATTATTAGAAATACCGGGTACAGTGGCGCACGCCTGTAATCCCAGCGGCTTGGGAGGCTGAGGCAAGAGAACTGTTGAGTTCAAAGCCAGCCTCAGAAACTTAGCGAGGCCCTAAACAATTCAGTGAGACCTTGTCTCTAAAAAAAAAAAAAAAAGAAAAGAAAAAAGTGGTGGTGGTGGGGGCGTTGGGGATGTGGCTCAATGGTTAAGTGCACCCTGAGTTCAATCCTCAGTACCAAAGAAAATATCACCTAGGCTGTCTGAGTGATACAGAGTGTCCTGAGCCAGTGGAAGCCAGAAGTCTAGCCTAAAGGATTTCACAGTCATTTGGGAAAGAGATGCTGTTGGCTGGGAGGCAGGGCGAGCAGTGGTTTAAATTCAGGCCAGCAGGAGGATTGGGGATTGAGTGCAATCGAGGATGACTTAGGTTTGGGGCTTAAGTAGTTTATTGAGGTAGAGAAGACCGAAGGAGGAGATCATTGGGTTGGAAAGGGACATTGAGCTTGGTCTTACATGGGTTAAAGCTAAGATATATAAAAAAGAGAAGCATCTAGCAAAAGGTGAAGAGGCAGTCATGGGGTGGGGAGGAAAGCTGAGAGAGCACAGAATCCTGGGCCTAGGAGTTTCCAGGAGTAGAAATGGTTAAGGGAGGACAGGACCTGCTGGACTGGACAATACGAAGCCGTGGGGATGTGGTTGGGATGACGAAGGGGAACACTCAATGGAGTAGGTGAAGCAGGGGTTGGGGTAGGAGTAGAGACAGTGGATGGAGAGAATCCTTGAAGCTTAACTAGTAGGGCAATAACCAGTTAGAACTAAGGACCAAAGATGCTTATTCTTATGCTTTGCTTTTACGCTGGAGTGTTTCAGGGCCTGCGTGCATGGCAATGAAATGATGTGGTAGTTAGTTCCTCTTAATGCAAGAGAGGGAGAGGAGAATTGAGAGCAGAGTTCTTCACCGCTGTTGGGACAGAATTGAGATCATAAATGGGCTTATTGTTCTTTGATAAGAACCAGAAAGCTGTCTATTAAAATAGGAGATGAGACAGAGAACATAAATGTAAACACTGGGGTTAATAATTTCTTAGTGGTAAAATGAAAGGGTGACCTTTGATTGCCTTAATTTTTTCAATGAAATATGGGGTGAAAGGGGCTGGGGTTGGCTCAGCAGTAGAGCACTCGCCTATCACGGGCAAGACCCTGGGTTCAATCCCCAACACCACATAATATCTTTATTTAGATATTTTTTTAAAAAATAAAAGAAATTTTTAAAAAGAAAAGAAATATGGGGTGAGATGTTATCAGTGGGAGTGGTGTTGAGGGAGGATGTAAAAGAATTGTATCGGAGAGAGAAAAGCCAGCACACCACCCAGGAACATGTGACAAGACTGTCTGCTTGCATCAGGTCCCTTTTGAAATATATAGAGGTTTATTTTGACCGGGCGATGGCGCATGCCTGTAATCCCAGCAGCTCAGGAGGCTGAGACAGGAGGATTGCAAGTCAAAAGTTTGTTTTGGCTTGTGGTTCTGAAAGCTGGAATGTCCCAGAATCTTGGTGCTGCCATCTGCTAGGCTTCTTGTGAGGCCTTTGTGTTCTGTCATAAGAAAGATCAAGGGCTAGCAGGCATGTGCAGAAGAATCAACGACAGTAGTGGCGGCCTCACTGTTAGCAACCCACTCTCTGATACTGATCCAGACCCACAAGAACTAACCCCATCCTGCAGAAAAGGCATTTTTCCCTCTTAACCTAATCATTTCTGAAAGGCCCCACAGGCCAAACCACATTCTAGTCATAGCTGTAGATGGTTGGGGTTAGCCAGCATTGAGTTTTTTTAGGTGATTTCTTCAGAGGAGAGAGAATCAAGAGAGGTACAGGTGTTGCCAGGTAGGGAAGAGACAAGGGCCTAGTGCAGAGTAGAGGACTGGAGGCCACACAGGGACTTAGGAAATCCCCTATGGGTGTTCATAGCTGGAAATGGAGGTTTTGGAAATATGTGAGCTCAGGGATGTGACAAACACATTTAGTGACTGGGCTGGAGCACAGTCACAGATTTTTGGAAGAGGTCAAGGCACATAGGGACCAGAATGTTAGATGGATCACCCAAGGGGATATTGAAGTTTGCAAAATAATGACAAGAATAGAAATGAGGAGGGAAAGGGTGAGTTGGTGCTAATTTATTTTGTCCAAATATCTCCATTCTTAGTTGATGAAATTCAGTGTTAACCAAGAAGAATGTCTTTGTTAAACCCAGTCAATAAGAAAGACAGAAGCTCATGACTCAGGTTCATGTGATGCTTTAGGGGCAGTATATGGTGACCCGACCCTCATAGTTAAACACAAATGCCTTTCTGTCAGCAGATGCTGCTGCGGCTTCAGCAATGGTGTCCGCGTCTGCCCCCTCGGTTTACAGTGTGCAAGCCCTCTCTCTCCTGGCAGAGGTAAATACACACCTGAGTGTGGTCCCTTGTGGAAATGCTTGCCATCCTGAATTATCTAAAAGGCATGTGTTTATTCTCAGGTGCCAGTGAGTGTGGGCTCACCCTCCCAGGTGAGCTCCAAAGTCAGTGAGGACCTTGTTTGTCAGCTTCCTTTTGCTATGACAAAGTACCTGAGAAAATCAAGTCAAAATGAAGAAAGGTCTCTTTGGGCTCACAATTTCAGAAGCTTTAGGGCGTGTAGTGAGGCAGAATACCATGGTAGAGAGGGTGTGGTGGAGCAAAACTGCCCTCCTCTGGTGGCCAGGAAGTACCAAGAGGAGGGGCCATGACCCCAATATCCCTTTCAAGGACCTGTCCTCAGTGACCTGACTTCCTCCACTAAGGCCCCACCCCCTCCCAACAGTGCCCCAGGCTGGTGATCTGCCTTTACCCACGGAGCCTTGAGAGGAGCTGCCTCATCCAGACCACAGCAGGCCTCCAGCTGCAGCGTGGACTTTTCTCCTGAGGATATTTGTTTCTGTTTTCTTACCTTCTGGTCTTTCTAGGTTCTGGCTTCTCTGCTGGACATGGTTTACCGCAGTGACGAGAAAGAGAAGGCCGTGCCCTTAATCTCCCGCTTGCTCTATTACGTCTTTCCCTACTTACGCAACCACAGGTGAGACTGTCTCCTCCCTTTCATCCCCCCAGATGCAGAATGTGTTTTGAGGAAGAATCTAGGGGTTTTCTTGACCTTGACTTGTGCTCTTCCCATCCCCGTTTAGCGCCTACAACGCTCCAAGCTTCCGGGCCAGCGCCCAGCTGCTCAGCTCCCTGAGCGGCTACGCCTACACGAAACGCGCCTGGAAGAAGGACGTGCTGGAGCTGTTTCTGGACCCTGCTTTCTTTCAGATGGATACTTCTTGTGTTCAGTAAGAAACGCTGCCCTGGACAGCGCACTCTGGACCTCGGGGTTGTGGTTCAGTAGTTATCACTGTGGAGATGGAAGCACACCCTTAGCATCGACTCCGATCATAGGACACATGTCACAGGCTCGTAGTCAGCCAGGCCTTCACCAGAAAGGCACTCAGAATCTCTTAGGATACAAAGGTGCCTTTTTCATCAAAAGAATAATTTTGCTAAATGAAGAGTGCATAGGCTGGGGTACGGCTCAGAGGCAGAGTGCCCACCTAGAATGCACGGCCCTGAGTTTGATCCCTAGCATAAGAAAAAAAAGGAGAGAGAGCGAGTTAGCGCATTATTCCTGAAGAGCATAATATAGGGTTGTGGGTGTTCTAGGGACATTTGGTCCAGTGTTGCTTTGAATTTTTTGTTTGTTTGTGGGTTTGAGATAGGATCTTGATGTGCTGCCCAGGCTGATCTCAAACTCCTGACCCTCCTGCCTCAGCCTCCCAAGTAGCTGGGACCACAGGCTTGTGCCACTGTGCCCAGATATGCTGCTTTATCATCATCATGGAATATTTGGCCAGCATTGAGGTGGCAGAGCCCACTGTGGTGCAGGTGGTATCTTGACCCCATTTCTCAGCTCATACACCCCAAGTTCATACTGAGATCTTGCAGTGGGCCAAGCCCCGCATTGCCATTAGAGATCACCTGAGACACAGATGCGAGATGTGCTTCCTGTGCCTTTTCCTGGAAATCAAGGAACCCACTTAGTGGCTCCCCTGGCTTGCTGAATGGGCCTTTTTTAAAGACAAGGGAGGTGTGGGGAGAGACAGTGCAGATGGGGGCAGAGTTTTTTGTTTGTTTGGCAGTGTTAGGAATTGAACTCGGGGATGTAGCTTAGCCACATCCCCAGCCCTTTTATTTTTTAATTTGAGGCAGGGTCTCACTAAGCTGCTTAGGATCTCGCTAAATTGCTGAGGATGGCCTCAAACTTGTGATCCTCTTGCCTTGGCCTCTCAAGTTGCTGAGATAACAGGGTTACTTCACAATACCACACCCTTTTTCTCTTCTCTCTTTTTTTTTTTAATTTGTGTGTGTGTGTGTATTTATTTATTTTAGTTGTAGTCGGATACAATATCTTTATTTATTTATTTTTATGTGATGCTGAAGATCTAACCCAGTGCCTCACACATGCTAGGCGAGCGCTCTACCACTGAGCCACAACCCCAGCCCTCACCCCCGTTTTTTTGTTTTGTTTTGTTTTTTAATTTTGAGACAGTTTTGTTAGATTGCCCAGGCTGGTCACAAATATGCAATCCTCCTGCCTTGGCCTCTCAAGTAGCTGGTCGTACAAGTGTGCCCACCACATATGCCTGGGACAGCCTTTTTGTGTGCCTTAAATGTTTGTTCTGCCACCAGAAGGCTGCTTGGAGCCTCTGTCCCTGTGGGTTCTCAGATCCATGGATGCTCAGGTATCTTATATAAAATGCACTAGATTTGCATAGAACCTACACACATTCTCCTTGTACTGTAAATCATCCCCAAGTGACTTTTAACACCTAACAGAATGTCAATGCTATGTATATACTTGTTTTACTGTATTGTTTAGGGAATAATAACAAAGTCTGCACATGTCCAATACAAACACAATCTTTTTCCTGAGTATTTTCAATCCATGATTGGCTGAGTCTGCAGATAGGATGTATGGAAAGGGCTGGCCATAAGCTTTTTGCTCTACTGGGTAACCCAGATTAGCCCTTTGGAAGTAAGAGCCAAGGGTGATATTTGTCTTCACCACCCACCACCTTCCCTCCACAAAACTTGGGGCATCGCCTGGTATAGGTATGTTGAAGAGCACCTTTGGGAAACCAGAGCACCCTGGCAGTGTGAGTGGGCTTCATGGCCAGCTGGGCAGAGCATCCTTCTTCCTGATGCTAGGGTCATAAAGAAAGGTTTTTAAAAATAGACAATAAATGCTAAGGTTTATCCTTTCCTCATACAACAGCTTATGTATTTGTGTAACAGCCTCTTTTCAGAGAACAGTTTTGTTCTTTTTTTAAACAGATCTTATTTAAAAAGCAGGCTATTTTCTTGATGCTTTTAATTTTATTATCAAACATCACAAATTTAATTAATATTGCTTTTTTTAATATCCAGTTGGAAGTCCATTATTGACCATCTTCTGACTCATGAGAAAACCATGTTTAAGGACCTAATGAGTAAGTTGTGCGTTCCTTGCCACACTTTAAGGACCAAGGCCAGCCTAACTGGCTCTTACCATGCATTTCAGAACCCCTCCCAAACCTTTTCTGTGCTGAGCCTTAAACTGTGATGAGATGTGCCAACTGTCAGGACTACGTGACTGTGTCCTCCCCGTTGCCTCTGTTTACTAGGAGGCCTGGACAACCCTTTTTTTTTTTTTTTTCTTTTTTTCCTTCATTGCTCAGGATTGAACTCGGAGGTGCTCAGTCACAGAGCTATACCCCCTCAGACCTTTTTATTTTTATTTTGAGACAGGGTCTCACTAAGTTGCTGAGTCTGACCTTGAACTGGGATTCCAGGTGTGCGCCACTGTGCCCAGCCTGTGTCCGGCCTGATGACGCCTTTTTTACAACTTTATTGTGGAGAAATACTGCTGAAAGCAGCCAGGTTCACACCTTTGTGTCAAAAGTATTTGTTTTCCATAACAGGAGTATTTTTCTATACCTCAGATCCTCTTCTACTGCCCTGTCATTATATATCATTAATGAAATGAGTATTTTTAATAATACATGAAAATAATTATCACACACTCTCACTTAATCATGTCATGATTTTTCAATGGGGAAAATGGGAATTGCACTGGACTCAATTTCACTTAACCTCTGTGGTTTTCTTACCAAGTGTAATCAATCTATCTGCTATATATTTGTTCCAGACATGCAGAGCAGTTCTTTAAAACTGTTCTCAAGTTTTGAGCAGAAAGCCATGCTGTTAAAGCGCCAGGCTTTTGCTGTCTTCAGTGGAGAACTTGATCAGTACCATCTTTACCTTCCATTGATACAAGGTAAGATGGCTGTGTTAGTCTGTCTTTAGTTACTAGAACAGATTATTTGAGACTAGGTAATTTATAATGAACAGAAATGTACTGGCTCAGAGCTCTGGAAGCTGGGAAATTAACGGGCTCATCAATTTCTCTGATGATGGTCTTCTTCCTGCTTCATCTCATGATGGAAGGCAGAAGGACAGGAGAGCAAGAGGGAGGTCAAACTCCTTATTTTATAATGACACCGATTATCCCACCTGTGAGGGTGGAGCCCTAGTGGCCTAATTACCTCTTTTTTTTTTTTTT